TTTAGTGCTACTATTACCCAAGTACAATGCATCCACAAAATTTGAAATACTATCTTTTCATTTCAAGTCAAAATATTTTCTAATTTTTCCTTTTTCATTGACCTGTGAATTATTTAAAAGGTGCTAGTTTCCAAACACTTGAGACTTTTCCAGATATCTTTTACTATTGATTTCTAGCATAATTCCATCCCAAAGAACATAATTTGGAATGTGTTGATATTTGCTTAGTGGTCCAGATTATATTATTAAAGTGAGGACTTGAAAAGAATGTGTATTCTGTTGCTCTATAGATAATCAGGTCAAAGTGACTGATACTGTTCTTCAACTCTTCTACAACCTTATTGATGATATGGCTACTTGCTTTATTATTGACAGGGATGTTGCAACTTCCTACCATCATTGTGGATGGGTCCATCTTTTTCTTTTATCCTACTTTCATTTCATGTATTCTAATTTCATTATTAGGGTTATAAAAATTTACAACTGTTTAATCCTCTTGATGAACTGACCCCACATTTTTATGAAATGATCTTTCCTATCCCTAGTAATCTTCCTTCTTCTTAAGTATATTTCATCTGGTATTAATAAATGCACTCCAGCTTTCCTTTGATTAGCACTGGTACAACGTGTTTTTTTCACCTTTTTATCACCCAGTCTGACTTCATATTCTTGGCAATCCTCCTGCCTCAGCCTCCCAGGTGCCAGGATTATGGGTGTGCACCACACCTATGTGTGCCTTTATATTTAAAGTGGGCTTCTTGCCACCCATGGTGGCACATGTCTGTAATCCAAGGACTCAGGAGACTGAGGCAAAAGGATCGCTGCAAGTTTGAGGCTAGTTTAGGCTACAAGTGAGTTTAAGGCTAGCCTGGACTACATAGCAAGACCTTGTCTCAAAAATGTAAAAAAAAAAAACACCAGAAAGACAGAAAGAAAAAGAGGAGGGGAGGGAGAGAGGGAGGCAGGGAGCAAGCTTCACATAAGCAACACAAATTCAGGTCCTGCTTTTTTATTCATTCTGACAATATTTGTCTTTTAATTGGGCTGTTGAGATCACTTACATATAATGAAATATTAATTGGGTATAAATTTATATCATTATTTGTTTTGTCTATCTCCATCTATTCTTAGTTCCCATTTTCTTTTGAAGTAAGTATTTTATGATTTCATTTATCTTCTTTTCCATCTGTAATTCTTTGTTGCATTCTCTTAGGGTTGCTTTATTATGAATCACACCATTAACATTGTCTGTCTTCAGGGGATATTTACCACTTCAGATAGAGTGAAGAACCTGTCTAGTACACTTGCACTTTCCACAGTCTACTTACTGTAGAAAGTTTTTTCCACAAGCTATCTTTATTTTTTTTTCAAAGGAGTATTTCATTCATTTAGTAAAACAGGGAGATGAGAAAGATGGGACAGTTGGTGTGATGGTGAACACAACCAGAAAGGCAAGGATGCCGGTGGAGAATGAGGCAGAATTAGCTGCCCCAGCCACCCCAGTGACCCAGTGACCTGCAGAGACATCGTCTGGATTCAGTCTTGAAGTGGATGTAATCATATTCATTCATTCAACAAACGTTCACTGAGCAGCCTACTACACAGAGTAGGCCTATGCCAACTGTCTCTAACACATTCCGACCATGACATTAAAACTACAGTTTTGGCCTTTGTCCACTATCAGTGATAGCGCCTCACCATAAAGCACTAGTGGGCTTGGCCTCTCAAGCTGAAGTCAGTAATTGTATAACGAAAGTACAAAGACTAACTGCAGTCGGACACAGTTGCCTAAGGGACCACACTATGTATGCGAGGAAGAATCTGACAGACTCACAGAAGAGATACATAGCACAGACTTAAATGCAGCTGGCCATGTGCTGGCACAAACATGCCAGCAAGCCTATTCAGAATGAGTCCCATTCAAAAGATCTTTCTAACATGTTTACAATTTCAAAGTAAATTTACCTTATCAGCAGTAGGGAATCCTTTATTTAGTAATGTGTCTCAAAATGCAACTATTTACCTATGAATGCCTTAAACTTTATCTTTATGAAACAGGAGTACTCCATTGTACATAAATACCACATTTTCTTTATCCTTTCATCTGTTGATGGGCATAAAAGCTGTTTCTAAGATTTAGCTATTATAAATTGTGCTGCTATTAACATGGGTATGCATGTATCCCTGTAATATGACTTTAACTCTTTCAGGAAGATATCTAGAAGGGGAACCGCTGAGTCAAATGGAGTTTCTAGTTTCAGTTTTCGAGGAATTGCCATGCAGATTTCCATAGTGGTTGTACTAGTTCACATTCCCACCAGTAACACAGAAGAGTTCCTTTTTCCCTAACTCCTTGCCAGCACTTGTTATTACTTGATTCCTTGATGACAGCCATTCTTTCTGGAATTAAGATGGTATCTCAGTGTTGTTTAATTCTCTTAATGGCCAGTGATGTTAAACATTTTCTCATGCATTTACTGTTCATTTGTACTTCTCTTGAGATGCGTGTATGCACTTGAGTTGTGGGGGTCTTTACATATTTTAAATGTTAGTCCTCTGTCTGTGGAATGGCTGGCAAAAATTTTTTTTATCGTTTGGTAGGTTGTTTCTAAACTCTTTTGGTTGTTTGCTTTACACTTTGATATGATCACGTTTGTTAACTCTCAGTATTATTTTTTTGTGCCATTGAGGTTCTGTTCATAAAGTCCTTGCCTATGCCTTCAAGAACTGTATATATATTATCTTTTAGCAGCTAAGTGTTTCTGTTTTAATATTTAGATCTTTGATCCATTCGATTTTAGCTTAGTACATGGTTAGATACAGAGGTCTAGACTCAATCTTCTGCATGTGGATGTCCAATTCTCCCAGCACCATTAAAGAGGCTATCTTTCCTGCAGTGTATGTTCTTGTCCCTTTTGTCAAAGATTATATAGCTGAACGTGCCTGGAGTTGTTTCTGCTTCCTCTATGCTGTTCCATCTATCCATATGCCTGTTTTTGTGTAAGTTCCACGTTGTTTTTTATTACAGTAGCTTTGCAGTGTAACCAAATCTGGAATTATGAGACCTCCTGCTTTGCTTTTGTTAGCCAGGATTGCTTTTGCTAATACATGTTCCTTCGAATGAATATCCTGAGAAAGATCTCTAAACAGTCTTCTGGCCAAGGCATAAATCTTAACGTAGCGTCTTAGTTACTTTCTCATTGCTAGAACAAAACTCCTGACCCCCACAAGTTAAAGGAGGAAAGGTTCATTTTAGTTCACAGTTCCTAAAGGTTTCATAAAGGTCCATAGTCAGCTGGCTCCAAGGCAGGGTGGCCTAGCAGAGGAGAAAGAGCTCATGGCAAGGCAAGCAGGAAGCAGCATGCAGTCAGGAGGAGGAAGGACAGATATATTCACCCTTCTAGGCCACACCCACAGTGCCCCACCTCTTCCCACCAGGCTTCACCTCCCAGCATCACACTCAGCTATAAAGCCAACAGTGGAGTAACCCAGTATCACATTTCCATCACCTCTCCAAAACCTCACCTATGAGCACACAAGACTTTGCAGAGTCATCTACATATAACCAATAACATCTAGTCACAAAGTACATCAACCAAAGAAAATGAGGGATGTTCTTTAAAAATTTTTTTTTAAAAAGTGAGAGGAGTGCTATATTCTTCAAAAATGTTATAAAAAGGGGGTGCACCCCCTTTGGTGCACCCCAGAAACAAAGGCTAAGACCCTTACTGTACCAAAAAATCAGCTCACCCCTACAAATACAACAGGGTGAGAAGAACCAGGCAAAGACAATAGGCTGAGCTTCTCTCCCAAGCTTCTTCCTCACATGCAGTCCGCTGTTTGGCAGTTCCTGCTTCAGCAATATTATTATTAAACCTCTGCTTCGTATTACTTTTGTTTTCTAAGTTCCTCATTTTGTGCTGGAGGGCTCTTCAGTTTTGAGTCAGCCTCACTTCACCCCTTGCATTCTTGCCCAGGTGAAGGGACAGAAGCAGGAAAGTAGAGTTTCTTCTCGAGAGGATCCTTTCCCTTCCAGATCTCGTTTGGTACATCTCCATCCTATTCCTTCTTCATTAGATCATTCTCCTCAGCTTAGAAACATGTTCTTCCACCTCTAAAACAAAGATGCAAATGAAGCATCTCTTGACCCACAGGCCCTCCAGACTTCCTAAAAACGTATCTGCTCATACGGGCACATTTATGCCCTCCATTTATCCTCAACCCAGTCCAGCTGGCCTGTACCCCCACTGCATACCTGTCCTTGTTAAAGTCATCAAACACCTCCAGGTTGTCAGCTCCTATGGATGGTCCTCAGTTATGCTACCGACCTTTCGGCAGCATTTGGTAATGCTGGTCACACTCTCTTCATGAAAAGACCTCTTCCCTTGGCTTTTGAGCAAACACTTTGCTCCCACATCCCTGCCATTCCTGTCTCCTCTGCTTTTCCTCATCCTCTGCCTGACACTTTATGCTGCAATGCTTAAGGTTCTCAGGCCACTCTCTCTCTCCAGGTGATCTTAAAAACCATCGACACATGTTGATGACTCTCAAATTTATTTCTTTACCCCAGAGGTTTCCTCTGAGTTCTGTATTCACACAAGACAATAAGTTGCTTTAACACCATGGGTTGAAATTTCTCAAACTTAACAAATTGAAAATGGAATTCTTGGTCTTCCCCAACCTCTTACATTCTCTACCAGATTCCCATTTCAGTAAGTGTCCATTCATCCAGCTGCTCAAGTCAGAAAATTCAGAATCACCCCCTGCCTGCTGAGACTGCGTGACATTTTTGACTATATGTTTTTCAACAGTTTAAATATATCATACTTATTAACCAAAATTAAAAGACCAAAACTTTTCTTTTGAATAAAGAGACACAAAACAAAGATGTGCTAAAACATAATGCAGTCTCTATGTTTTTAATTATATGGTGTATCTAATTTTAGTTCTGTGATTATCTAAATAAGGATACTAAAAACTAGCATTAAATTTCATATTACCAGAAGTGTTGGGATTTATTGAAGACATCACAGAATTTGCTTCTATCTAGAAGAGAGGAAAGAATAATAAGACATAAGTTTATTGAATGTTTTCAAAGCACAAGTTCTTAATTTCTAGTATGAGGGAAGGGATTTTTTTAAAGAGAAACCAACTTTATTAAACTTTATTGAACCCAGCAGATAGGTAATGTCACTGAACAACTTTGTCATTTTACTTTTCCATTGACCAATACAATTCAAGCACATAAGGGCAGTTTGGCTGTCCCATACAGAACATAATCTAAAATGTATCCTTTTTGCTTTAAACAAAAGCAAGCAATTGTTACAAGTGGCTCTATGGCTTTATTTATAAATTTTTTTCTTGATTCTGACAATAACATGACAAAATGAAAAATATAAAACATGATTAATAATAAATACTTTTAAAAGCCATCCAATGAAAACAACTGTTCACATTTTGTCTAGTCTAGCTTTTTATTTCCTATGCAGTTTATAACATTTGAAAACCTACTGTATGTAAAGTCTAAGAACCTGCTTTCATTAAAGTAGAAGCATTTCCCCCATTGTTACAAGGGCTTTATAAACATTAGAGAAATAGAACTCAGACAGCATCCGACACCTACTCTACTGCCAGTCTTGGATTCCAAGCACTTTCCTGGTTCCTTTTGGCTCTCCCAAATGATTCCCACTCCATTTTCTTTATGGAGGCCCCTGCCTACCCTTAAATGCTGGCTTCCTTAATGTTCTTTCCTCAAACTACTGCTCTTCATGTTATGGTAATGTCATTCAGTCTCATGTTTTGAGTTTGTCCTTGAAAAATGAGACATCCCAAATTTACCTCTAGCCCTATTTCTTGTCCTATAAGGGAGGCAGTGAAATCCAAGACTTTCACCACCCAGCATAGTATCTGATGAGCGAAGGTACCTGGATTGCCCAAAGTCACCACAAACTCAACCTGCTCCAATCTGAACTCGATGCCCCAGAACCTGTTCTCTCTCAGCTCTCACTTGGCAGCAGTACAATCCCTCCAGTCTTGGGGGTCCTGCCACTCTTTCACCACCACCATATCCAGTCATACGCCCTAGTGAGGGCATAACTTGGCCTAACACCCACAAAGTGTTCCTAGACACTTCTCTATCACAACAGGCTAGCTTCTCAAGTCTACATGACACCCACATTCCTATTATAGCTGCCTCTGGAATTAGGTTCTCATTCTTGTCTTCTCCTCTTGCTATCTACCACAGATAGGTTTTTCTAGGTGTGTCTACACTAAAGAGTGAAGTCATTCAGGGTAGGATCTGTGTATAATTTATGTTTATATCCCTAATAACTACCAGTAGCAAGTGTCCCTTTTATTAAATAAGACCATAAACTTCATTTTGTAAACAAAACTGCATGAATCTATAAGTGATTTATTATATACTTATCTTTTTACAACATAGCATTATTTTAAATAACCGTAATATAACACTGTAACATTTCACAGTAAGATTTTAAAATATACATTTTCTATGATAGAAATTTTTAAACATTATCTCATTTAATTAACTGTTACAAAGTCAGTATTCCCTTTGAATTCAAATGTAATATTTAAAAACTAAACCTCAACCTTCAACCTAGTTGAAATTTACACTCTGTTAAATTTCATGGAAGGTATGCAGTGTTGCCTATTTAATAAGATTATAGTAGAAATGATTAATAAGTATACAGTAGTGCTATGTCAGTACTTCATTGTTTAGTGACCCAAAGTCAGTTACATATTTCATGTACCAGAAAATAAAATTCAAAACCTTAACCCAGTATGAAAAGCAAAAATTGCCAAATTTCATTGAGTATATATGCAGTATGCCACCACATCACTGTACGTGTCATTAAATACCTCACATATTTCTTACAAAGGCAAAGTGGGACGAAATATCTTTCCAAGTGAACCCACTTTAAATACCATGCTTCAAAAGCGGAGTCTTCTTAGCCAGTTTGCTTTGAATTCCAGCTGCAGTGCTTGCAGGCTAGCAGGAAAGCTGCGCTTTTGGAGAGCCAGCCCGGACTACCTCTCTGAGCACAGTAACCAGCTTTTTGGCACCTAAGTGTGTCTGAATCTATGAAGGCTGCTCATGCAACCTAACTGGGTCAACAGGACACACTGACTGAGGTTGTGATGCACTTAAGCACACCCAAGGGTACAGAAGTGGAACAATACAGAGTCCCTGGCTCTACAGCATTTGGAAGCTGACAGAAACGCTAGTCACTCATGAGGAACAGCTGGGCCATAAATGATGGCCAGGCTCTTTGGTCTAAGAAGGGAAGGCATTCCAGGCAGATCCCTGAGCTCTCCCTTTGTTTAATGGTTACAGATTAATTTCTTGAATGTAGAAGGTATCTCGACTCCAATTAGTTCCAGCTCAGCAGCTGAACAAGAAGGGATCCACCTCTAGAATGCAAGGTACCAGGCAAGCAGAACAGCACAGACAGGGTTGAGCAGAAAACTTGTTAGACAGAAGTAGGAGGCTCACTGAAATTCAGTTTGAGCATTATTACTGGTGAACTGGTACAAGGTTTTCTGCAGAGCAACACTTAAAATACTTCAAATGCACATATCCCAGGACCTTACTGTTATACATCTAGGAATTTATTCTGAATACACACCCATGAAGACATAAATCTCTGTGTCTGTTTTTTGTTTTTGTTGTTATTTATGTTTTTCAGACAGGGTCTTGCTCTGTAGTGCAGGCTAACCTCGAACTCACTGTGACCCTCTTGCCTCAGCCTCCTGAGTACTGGATTATAGCCATGGTCCACCATCCCCAGCTTCTATGTGCATTCAGATATAAAAGGATGTTCATTATAGCAATGTTTGTAGGAATGAAAACTAATAGAAATAACAACAAAGGAAATGCTATACAACCCTATTAAAAATGTGACGGTGTTGTGTGCTTGTAGGTTGGTGTATTTTTAAGTAAGGAAAGCAAGTTAAAATACGCATAGCATGTACCTAATGTTTAGATAAAGATGTTTGTCATAGATGGGAATTTTTGGAAGCATACACAAGAAACTGGCTAATAACAGTAACCCCTGAGACCTGGGACCTTCTAGTAAGGAGGAAATTTTTTAACAATGTGAACGTATTACGTGAATGTATGTGTGTGTGTGTGTGTGTGTGTATGTTGCTAGCAATTAAATACATGGCCTCACACAAGCTAGGAAAGCACTCTTAACACTGAGCTACATCCCCAGCCCCTTTTTATTTAATCTTTTATTTGGGGATAGGCTCTCACTAAGTTGTCCAAGCTGGAAATATGCAATCTCCCTGTCTCAATCTCCCAAATATTCCATTACTTTTATAATTTAAACAAAGAAATGTTTTTTGGCAGCACTGGAACTAAATCCAGGGCCTTCAACTGAGCTACATCCCCATGCCTTTTTAATTTAGAGTTGGGTCCATGTCCCTAAATTGCCCAGGCTGGGCTCAATCTTCCCGTCTCAGTGCCAGAGTTCTGAGTTTACAGGCTCATGCCACCATGCCACTCATCCCAGCCCTTTTAACATGTTTTGAAAATGTACTTTTAAAAAAAATTTTAGACATCTTGCTAAATCACTCAGTTGCCCCGGTTGGGCTCAAACTTGCAATCCTCCTGTCTCAGCCTCATAGTGTTGGGATTACAAGTGTGTATCACAACAACTTTTACTTTTAAAGGGAAGAGACTGCATGTCTCCTAGGTGAACTCCTCCAGTTAACATCCCCCTCACACCCCTCTTCAAATCTCTTTAGCACCTTAAATAGTGTTATTTATTTCCAGGGTTCAAGTGAGATAGACTTTAATTCATCCCTGAGCTGGATCCTTACAAAAAAAGTAAAATTTCACTGATAAAATCTCTTAATATTGTTTACAAATGAGAAATTTGTTTTATAAACATCTTAAACTATCCCCGGACACTTTTTTTAGGACTCATTCATATTATTATCTACCGCATTCCCAAATATATAAAGAAAGCTCTACCTTGGAGGGCTTGTAACCAAACAGCATTACAACAGCAACCTTGAAGTCCTCTCTGCTTAGATAGCCTTTATTATCTTCATCACAGGCTTTAAATACCTAAAGAATATTAAATATCTCCAGTTAATAGGACAAAAACTGTTCTCTTACTGGTTTACATTAAATTTAAACGTGAAAACATCTAAAATCAGCCCAGTAGAGAGACTCTGAAAAGCAGTTTCATTGTCCTAATTTTAATTCACAAGAAATCTTAATGATGAATCAAATCTACCCCCCACCAAAAAAAATTACAAACGACTTAACCTCTAGGCTGATGAACCTCTAATTCTACCTATAATTCAGTCGACTAAGTAGGAAGGTGAGGCAAAGGCGCTGGCTTTGAACAGCGGGAGGAGAGAGGTAAATTCGAGATTATTAATAAAGTATGGAAGGGGAGGGGCTTAGAAGGAGTCAGAGCACCGGATGGGGAGCAGGAGTCTTGCAGCTCTAGGCCTGGTCAATAACCATGACCCTTTTGGGGAGCCCAGGTGTCTTCTATACCACTGGGCTAAAATAAAACCCAGGAACACGGGGGGCCCCGGTCCAAGTTAAAGTCCGACACTCAAAGTCGCCCTCGGGACACCTACTTCCACCCACTTCCTGTGTTCCGAAGGGCTGGGGTCCCACGTCCGCGGCCAGGCTCCAGCTTTAGAGAGAGACATCACCACCGCTACTACCAATTCTTGACCTAGCAGATCTGGAACACCTCACGAAAACAGCTCTCCGCCAACCGTAACCACGCCCACAGCACCTCAGGAAGCTAAACTTCGCCGCGCAACTCCAACGTCTCCTCCCATTGGACGGCTTGCGAGCCACTGGCGTTGATCCTGCAGTATTATTGGCCAGGAGCTTGGTTTAACAACGTTCCTACGGACCAATCTGGGGTGGGAGGTTACCCAGGCCCGCCCTCAACACTCGGCTCCGCCCCCAGCTCTTGGCTCCGCCCCTTGCCTACGTCCCTTAACTCCTAGTGCAGTTCAGGGTACTCCGCGCACTTAGGTGCTTCTCCAATACATCTTGTTTCACAAATTCTCCCTACCAGTTAAGTAAATTCGCTATTTTAATCCATGGTTAGGCCAGACATCATGTGAGACACAAAACGAGTGAGAACAAAGTGCAAAAAGAACCAAATAAGTCGAGCCACATTGAGTCAGGTGTAAATCAGAATGTCACTGGGATCGAGCTACTACATTTGTTGTTTTGTTTCTCCCAGACCTGCAATAAGCAAATGAAAGGCGCTATGGGGATGTGGACGCAGACCTACATCACTCAGCGCTCTGAACCTGATGTCCGGCTGGAGGGAGACTCACGGAAAAGCGAGCAATATGGGAAAGTTCCGCTTTCCAGATGGGTTTTCTCAGGCCCCACTATTCTTTGGGCAATTCGATAAGGGCAACACACACACACACACACACACACACACACACACACACACACACCCTGTTTCAAGGAAGAAACAGACATTCGAGGTTCTGAGTCTAGCAGGATCTCGTTTAACGTTTTACTTCACAGCAAGATTAAAGTCCGCGCTCTGGCGCTGCGTGGGGCTTCCTGGGAGGCCTGAAGCTGTCCCTGAGAATCCCCATAATGGGGCTGAATTTTGCTAATTAACCGAGGGAAAAGCTAGAGAACACCTTTCTATTTCTTCCTTTTTTGGAAGTCTCCAGGAGGTGAGCCTAGACTCCCGCACCCCACCTGTTCCCTCCCGGGAAAGCGCTCAGGTGGCGCCGATCTGGACAGGGCGGGCTTTAGGACCCAGACGCAGGCCTTTGGGGAGAGGAAGCGCGCGCGCCGCGGCCCGAGGGTTCGAACCGTGCGCAGGCGCGGACGCGGCGCTGGGCGGGACCGAGGCGGCGGAGGGCCCCGCGAGCCCGGGTGAGTGTCCCGCGCCGGTAGGTGCGACTTGCCGCGCTCTCGTCGCTCCTGCGGTGGTCACGGCGCGCCGGGCGCTGGAGTCCGCCTGCTTCGTGGGTAGCCTGGTGGCCTGGAGGCGGATCGCGAGGGAGGAATGCAGCCCCGGGTGCGCGGCCCTGGGCAGGGTCGCCTCCGTCCCGGGCTCGGTTCCCGGCACGGACCGCGTCTTTCCTGCTGTGCGCAGCCGGAGACGCCACGCCTGGCCCGCGGGCGGGCGGCAGGGCCCGCGGCTCCGCTCAGGAGGTGGCCGTCGCGCACCGCCAGTTGCAGTAACTCATCTTGAGCGCTCACCCCAAGCCAGACAACCTTTCTGTGCCTAGCTCCCCGCAAGGGACGGTGGTAGTCCCTAGTGTCCCGTTATGCGCCTGCATTGAGTTTGTTTCTGGAAAAGCTCCCGGTACACAGAAGAGCTGGCCGCGGACACCCTTTCCTCGGCAAAAATCAGCCCACTTCTCTCGGTGCCCTCCGCCTTCCGCACCCTCGCAGCCCTGCGGGCGCCTTCTCCCTGTCGCTTTCGTCTCCCTGCAAACCATTTCCCCACCGAGTCGTAGCAAACGTAGTAGTCTAACAAGGTGCACCGAACCAGGGTGCTCCCCTAAGTAAAACCCTCAGTGACGTCCCACCTCCTGTCCTTGGCAGATTGGATTCCCTCCACCCGAAGTGCTTCTCTTCACCCCATCTTTTAGTCCTCTGGTTGCTTCTCATGCCTCACACGATACTTCCTTCTGAGATTATTCCAGATTAAGGTAGGTCATCCTTGTAAAATGCAGTGAGTATCGGATCATCTTGGGTTTTCCGAAGTAGTGTTAATCTGTCTCTTCCACGCTGAAATGAAGTTTTTCTAGTGCAGAAACAGCGATTCCTTAACGCCTTATTCCCAGCACTTAGTATCTAGTAGCGACTCAATAAACATGTTGAGAGGATGAGGTCTGGAAGATGAGCAGGATCCCCATTTCACAGCTGAGGAAATGAAGACTGAGCAGTTAGCTCACCTTCAGTTAACGGCTAGTATTGACTGGGTTTTACATTGGGGCCCATGTTTGCCCTTTGCTGGCTGCCTAGGGCTTCAACCCAACAGCCTGGCACCCAGACCCACCTGATGGTCTGTAGTCTCAGAGAAGGAGCGACTGTGGGTGCCCGTGTTTGTCTCTGCTGCGTCTGGCGAGGTGTGAGCCCTCGCAGATCTAAATGTAGTTTGACTTTGGTTTTGGCTTGTGGAACTGGAGATCAAACCCAGTGGCATTGAGCTGTATTCCCAGCCCCTTTTGATTTGATTTTTTATTTGGAAATAGCATTTTAAAGTCCTTCATAAAAGCTGTGACGCTGCTCTGAGCTGGCATTCGGTGGGAGAATTAGAACTTCATCTTCGTGCAGTATTTGCCAAATTTCATTCACTCACCTGCTTCCTCCCCAGTTTTTGTTTTATTGTCTGAACACATATGCTGTTGTTTACTTAACGTTTTTATTTAAATCCAGTCTCTTACATAAATATGGTCTTTTTAAAAGTACACTTTATTTTGCTGTTGTGAGTAATGGAGCCACAAGCTGCCTTCTGCTGACAGTAAACAAAAGTGTTACAGATGCTTGTAGAAGAGCCCAAGCCTGCTGTTTGTTCAAAACCAACACTAAAGCATTTCTACACCCCTGCAGCTTTCTCCTTGATTTAAGTAAAGAGTGGATTGAAATGGGCAAGGGAGTTATTTTCTTAATGTGGCGGTGTTAGTAAGCATCAGGTTGCAGGCACCTCTGCCTGGATAATGCTGGACTGCCCTGATTGAGTGGGAAGACTGTCACCCCACCTGTGCTGTACTGTGCTCACTCTCAGCACCGCTTTACTAAAAATGTGACTGCCAGGAGGAAGTAAACAACTGGAGGAAAACTGGGGATCTACACCTTGCAAACTCTGCTTCAATTATAAAAATGCTCTGGCATGCTGGGAACCTGATTGTGAGAGAGAAGTAAAATTCTGATGCTGGTGACCCCATCTGGTTTTCCAAAGTCAGTCATTTCCTGATCTTGGCCTTTACTGGCAGCTCTTCTTTGACAGACAGGTGTTGAGTGCCTGGGTGAGGTGGGGCACACCTGTAGTCCTGGCACTTGGGAGGCTGAGGCAGGAGGATCTCTCTGAGTTCTAGGCCTCAGCTATACAATGAGTTCAGGGCCATTCTGGAATACATAGAGAGACCCTGTCTCAAAAAAAAATAAATAACCTGCTAGACTTAATGATGAGGTACAGTTTTACTAGTGTATTTCCAAGAGTTACTTGCTTTAGCTAAACAACTCAGATTTTTTAGTGTCAGCAGGCCCCAAACTTTAACAATGCATACACCAGAGCCAGAAAACAGGCTCTGTTCTCTAGGAAATGCCTTTTTAAACCATTATTTTTATTGTCTTATTTTGTTGTCAGGAACCCCAACCCCCATACAGTTCTTGAAAATACAGATAAAATTGAAAACTTCAGAGTCACTAAAGACTTTGTCTGCAGAGTTCTCAGGGTTTGGGGATTCTGCCTTATTAACACAAGAATACAGGTCACAGTACAAAGAGCTGCCT